CACGGAGCTGTGGCTGTGTGCCCTTGCTGAGGGCTCAGGCCCTGGCTCCTGTGGGGTACTGAGGAGCAAGCCTGGAACTGTGCTCGGGTGAGAGCTGCTGGTGAGAATCCACAGCATGTCTGGGGAAGAAAAGGCTGAGAGGCAGACACTTAAGAACAGCTTCTCGTGGGAAAATGTGAGAGACTATTGAGAAGGGACACGAAGGAAGAAAGGAAAATTGTTAGAGCTTCACTTTCTCTGTTTCTGAAGTGAATTTTTGCTCACAGCAGGTGAGCGCAGGCTCCCTCCCACACTGAGATTTCCTCCCCTGCCATGCAGTCTGTTAAGTAAACAGAAACTTTATACTGAGAAAGGAACCTTTCTCTGTTTTGGCTATGGGTTGTTATTATTAAAGCTTCATCCTCCGAACATTTCCCCCTATCCTTGTTTATTTTTTCACTAGAAAGAAAATGTGCTACTTTAGGGACACCTGGGTGGCTCAGCCGTTAAGCGTCTGCCTTCGGCTCAGGTCATGATCCCAGGGTCCTGGGATCAAGCCCCACATTGGGCTCCCTGCTCAGTGGGGAGCCTGCTTCTCCTTCTCCCTCTCCCACTCCCCCTGCTTGTGCTCTCTCTCTCTCAAATAAATAAATAAAATCTTTAAAAAAAAAAAAAAGAAAATGTGCTACTTTAAAAAAAATTGACTTCCACGTAAGAAACACTCCCTTGTAGTATGCTGTCCCTGTTTCAGGCCAAGTCACCCTTCGGTGAGACCACCGTCTCATCCCCCTGTTGAGCAACGTAGATTTTAAAGATTCCCCTCTGTTTCTAGAGAGCTTCCATGAACCCGGAGGCCACGGTTAAAGCAAAATGCACTGTGGCAATTGTTTTCTGGATGCTTTAGGCTAACCTCTGCCTGAACAGCTGTGGCCCTATTTATCCAGATATCTCATAGTGATAGTTATTATATAGCTGCTACTAGGTACCACCTGCCATTCTGAACACTTTACATAAAATCTCATTTACCTTTATCTGAGAAGTCTATGGCGATTGCCTCAATATTGATGTGAGTTAAATGGGAGGCTGAAGTTAGTTGTAAGACTTTCTTTCTATATCTTTTCTGGGGGAATGTAGCCCATGGTCTTGTACCTGTTTTTTCTCCGACTGTCTCACTCCTGTTTTGGATCTCTTTATGAACGAGTCCCATGTCTTTCTTCTCTGTAGCTTTAGGTCTAGCACAAGGCCTGGTTTATAAGGGACAAGTATGAATTAAAGTAGGGTGAAAAAGGAAGACAAAGGAAATCGTGTTGGAATTCTTTCCTCTGGTCATAGATAGTATGGTTTGACTTAATAGTTTTGAGTCCTAATTCCCTCACTTTTGACAACAACAAAAATAATACTATCTTAAAGGACAGTTGTAAGAAAGAAATGGATTTATTAAAAGTACCTAGCATATTTCAAATCAGTGTGGAAAAGATGGTTTATTCCATAAATGGTGTTAAGACTACCTAGCTGCCTGGGACAAATACGAAGCTGAGTCCTGTCTCACATGCCACCCAAGTAAATCCTGAAAAGCAGGTGCACAGCTTTGGGAATACACTAAAATCCATTGAATTGTACACTCTAAATGAGTAAATGATATGATATGTGACTATATTTCAGTACAGTTGTTATAAAAAATAAATCCCAGAAAGATTTAAGTATAAAAACATGGAACCGTACTAGAGGGAAACATAAGATGCTTTTTCATATGTTACTGAAAGGGAAATGACCTTTTCAAGCAAGACAGACTATTCCAAACAACAAGTTTGGCAAATCGATTATGTAATAATTAAATATTTTTCAGAAGAAAACACCAGAAAAAAAAAAAAAAGAAAAACATGACAAGCCAGTAGAAAAGCACTGAATGTACATAGAACACAGGGCTAATTACTACAATATATAAAGAACAGTTAAGAATCAACGTGAAAATGACTAATAACCCCACAGAAAAATATCAGCAAAGGGTAAGAGCAGGTCTCTTAGAGAAAGAGTTTATACCAATATATTCTACCAAAAGCCTATTGTACAAGCTCTTGGGAAGCAATGTTTGAACTATTTATCAATATTAAAAATGTATTAAGTCCTTTAGTTATTGCATGAAATGTTTGTGACAGTAAAATCCTTGAAGTCAAACGAAATGTCAGCCAACAAAGAAATGGTTCAAAAAATTTTAGCACTTTGTTCAGTGCAAAACTTACGCTATTAGAAACAGTTATGCAGGGGCGCCTGGGTGGCTCAGTCATTAAACATCTGCCTTCAGCTCAGGTCATGATCCCAGGGTCCTGGTATCGAGCCCCACATCCGGCTCCCTGCTCCGTGGGAAGCCTGCTTCTCCCTCTCCCACTCCCCCTGCTTGTGTTCCCTTTCTCTCGCTGTGTCTCTCTCTCTCTGTCAAATAAATAAAATCTTTAAAAAAAAATTTAAAAAAAAGAAACAGTTATGCAGCTGTTAAGAACAGTTGATGAACTCCAAAATACATTAATTAAAAATAAAGCAAAGTACTGGACAATGTGCTTACTGTTCATGTTTTAAATTATTATATTTTTCACAAATATGTTTGCATATGCATAGGGTATTTTAAATTCTTCTTGTCCCCCTCAAAGACAACGTGCCCCCAATTCAGCTTGTGAACAAAAAGATGAATGAGTTCCTTTCACGTGTATTATCTCATTGAACTTCTGCAACAACCCTATGGAAAAGATACCAATACTTTCTTTTTTAAATATAACATGTTATGAACCTTTGGGTTTGCTTATTTAATAGTTGCAACTACTACTGTTAAATCCTCAATGCAGAGGCTCTGTTGCACAGGGAAAAAGCCTAAATTTCTTATAATGTGGTACATCCTTTATCACTCGACCTTTTTCTCCTTTCCCAGGTTAGTCTCTTGTCTCTTTTGTACCTCTAGCACACCACTCTATGTCCTTCACTCTGCTCTTCCTGTCCATGTCTAAGACCCTCTTCCAATGATGCCTTCGCACTCCTGCTTGATGAAAGCCTGCATTTCTTAAACTGTCAACATGAATGCTACCTACTAGGGTAATCCTTACCTGTCATCCTTGGCAACACAAATGGTTCCAGCCCAGCCACAGTCCTTCGTTATACTTCCTCCTGTATTTCAAAAGCACTTTATACAAGTCTGTTAAACCTGATTATATTGTTTCAAGGTTTTGAGCATATTGAGAGTAGAGGCTCTGTTTTTATTCCCATAGTGACCACATGCCTGGAATATATAGCAGATCAATAAATACTTAGACAAATCATTTAGCTGAACCTTAATCATTTTTGATTACCCTTAGGTTGAAGAACTCTATATTTTTTAAGTTTTTATTTTACTTACAGTTAGCTTGCAGTGTTAAATTAGTTTCGGGTGTACAATATAAGTGATTCAACACTTCCATACATCACCTGGTGCTCATCACAGCAAATGCCCTCCTTAATCCCCATCACCTATTTCCCCCATTCCCCCCCCACCTCCCTGCCGGTAACCCATCAGGTTGTTCTCAGTAGTTAAGAGTCTGTTTCTTGGTTTGCCTCTTTTTTTCCTCTTTGCTCATTTGTTTTGTTTCTTAAATTCCACATATTAATTGAATCGTATGGTAGTTGTCTTTCTTTGACTGACTTATTTCACTTAACATATTCTTTAGCTCCATCTATGTTGTTGCAAATGTCTAGATTCCATTCTTTTTATGGCTGAATAGCACTCATTGTATAACTGTACCACATCTTCTTTATCCAGTCATCGATCAGTGGACACTTGGGCCGCTTCCATATCTTGGCTGTTGTAAAAAATACTGCTATAAACATAGGGGTGCATGTATCCCTTTGAATTTGTGTTTTTGAATTCTTTGGGTAAATACCCAGTAGTGCAATTGCTGAATCATAGGGTAGTTCTATTTTTAACTTTTTGAAGAACCTCCATACTGTTTCCACAGTGGCTATACCAGTTTGTATTCCCACCAAGAGTGCACAAGTGTTCCTTTTTCTCCACATCCTCACCAAAACCTATTGTTGGGTTGTTGATTTTAGCCATTCTGACAGGTGTGAGGTGATATCTCATTATGGTTTGGATTTGCATTTCCCTGATGATCAGTGATGTCAAGCATCTTTTCACGTGTCTGTTGTCCAGCTATATGTCTTCTTTGGAGAAATGGCTGTTCATGTCTTCTACCCATTTTTTTAATCAGGTTATTTGTTTTTTGGTTGTTGAATGGATATAAGTTCTTTATATATTTTGAATACTAACCCTTTATTGAATATGTCATTTGCAAATGTCTTCTCCCTTTCAGTAGGTTGTCTTTTAGTTTTGTTAATTGTTTCCTTCATTGTGCAGAAGCTTTTTATTTAGATGTAGTCCCAGTAGTTTATTTTTGCTTTTGTTTTCCTCGTGTCAAGGGACCTATCTAGAAAAAAGTTGCTATGGCTGATGTCAGAAAAGGTACTGCCTGTGTTCTCTTTGAAGAACTTGGTATTTAACATGGCAGATTTGGAGATTGAACAATATGTCTCTTCTAAGAATTCGAAATGAAATGTTTTATTGATGGAAAAGCTTTTTCTTTTTTTTTTTTTGTTTTGCCTTCTAGAATTCAAATGAACATTCATGTTCCACAAAAAGAATGGGCTGCAGTTTTTTTGTTACAGATTTGGAGCCAGTAGATTTTTATGAATGTGAACCTTATCATGGGTCTGAAAACCCATGAAAGCTTTCTATGCTTTATTTTTTTAAAAGATTTATTTATTTGAGAGAGAGACAATGAGCAAGCACATGAGCAGAGGGAGGGGCAGAAGGAGAGAGAGAATTTCAAGCAGACTCCCCACCGAGCCTGGAGCCCAACACGGGACTTGATCTCAAAACACTGAGATCATGACCTGAGCCAAAATCAAGAGTCACACTCAACCAACTGAGCCACCCAGGAGCCCCAGGTTTTCTGTGCTTTAATACTATTTTTTTTTTCTTTTTATTTTCTGTGTTTTCATAGGAACCAGGGAAAATGTGTAGAGGGCATGGTGGAGATCTTTGACATGTTGCTGGCTACGTCATCTCGGTTTCGTATGATGAATCTCCAGGGAGAGGAGTTCGTGTGCCTCAAATCCATCATTTTGCTTAATTCTGGTGAGTTGATAACATGGGGGAATTTACTGCTGGGTTACTGGAAGAAAGATTTATGTGTATTTTCAGCCAGATATAAGCTGCCTATTGCAAAGGCATAATCATAAATTGAAAGAAACAACTGATGCACATTTAAAATGACCTATTGTCATTGTAGACTGCTTATAGAGGTGGAACCCCCACTGGTCAGATACAACGAATGAAGAACACAAATTGGACACTGAACCAAATGGCTTTTCTGTTGAAATATTTGCATCCTTTTACAGATATTTGGGATGTTTTCATTTTATTAATTTTATTTATTTAGTTTGAGGTGGTGGTTTTTACTAAAGTGGTACAGGTATATAGGCATTGATTGTTGATAGTTGTATATGGCAGAAAGTAAGTAGACCAAATGACCAACATCAAGTTCAAGATCATAAGGAAAGAGGCTTATTTGAGACTGACCATGTTTCTGGCCAAAACTGATGAGGCGACAAATATAATTGGCTCAGAGATAGAAACACCTGGTCCTAAAACTGAGGCACACGCAGGGCAGGTCCCACTGAAAGAGCAGCTTTCATGTGGTCTAAGGGGTCTAATTCAACTGTGCCCTCCTAGCGACTGATTTGAGAAAGCTTAGCTGAGAGTGGCATCTGGTTAGGGGTTTGTTTTGTTTTGTTTGCCGTAAAGGTCACTTATTGTGTAAAGAGGTTCTCCAGGTCACCCAGATGGAAACTATGGCTCAGCTGAATTAGCGCCGTGTTCCTTCTGGCCCTCAGTATTTGGATCTGGACACTAGATATCCAGTCTGTGGGACCCGAAGCTCAACAACTGGGTGTCACCCGCACAGTAGATGCCTTTAGCCTGGATCTTGACCCCTGGCCCTGGCCCTACTTCATGGCTCAGACCTCATTCTCACAAAGAAACCGTAGCTATTTTGAAGCCCTACGCCTGATTTAGAATGAGATAGGGTCTCTAATTTCCCTGATGGCTGAACCAGAGTTTGTATTGATCCCATGTGGAGACAATCGGCCCTTTCTTCTCTTTTCAGATGTCTTGTCTCTTCCCGAAGATCACCAACCCCTTCATACCTCCCCTAGCCATTTTCCACTTCCCTTCCCCACCAGTGCTAATAACCTGTATCACTTCATGGTTAGACAGCAGTCATTCTCACTTATCAACTGATAAATGGAAATCTGCACTCTTCCAGTAGGCAAGGACTGAACTACAGAACAGTTACCTGAAAAACGATGTGACCTGCTCATTCATGTTTCTGGTTCCGCTAACACACATTGTGCTTTTCATTTCAGTCATTTGTCCGGTACACTGAAGGGTTCACATCCCACAGTGGCTCTTTATTGGAAGAGACTTCTGGGAGCAATGCCACTCGGCTGCACCGTGCCAGGTCCTGAACCTGGTCCTTCTTCAGTGGAGGGCTGGCGCATGCTGACGGCTTTCCTGTGGGCAATCCGTTAACTTCAGGGAAAGCGGGCCTATCAAGTGCTGGGACTTTTTGCCCACTTTTACTAGGAAATAACACTCCAGACAGGAAGTGAAAATTCACCAGAGTTATATAATCCACACAAGTAGATGCTCTGATCTTGGTCACCAAAAATTTCCCTTCAAATCTGTGTAGCCTCTTCCTACATTATTGTTCTGTTCCTATGACAGGGTAGGGTTTTTAGAATATTATATAAATAAGGGGCAAGACTTGTGCCATCAAAATATTGAATGCATAGACCCAGGATTTTTTAAGTCCCAGAGGAAAAAAATTTCCGCCCTCACAACAAAGTCTTTTGTGAGAGACTGGACCCAGAATCTCAAAACATATTTCCCACTGCCCGACGGGGCCAACCCCCGACTCCTCCTCACACTGGTTAAACTTCCCTGCGCTAGCCTTGTTCTTCTACTTCTTTCTCAGGAGCTTCTGTGAGCTTCCTTCCTTGCGTTTGAAGGGTTGGAACACTATTTTGGAAACACAAGGCACTGTAGTCTGACAGAGTTTACAGTTGTCCTTCTCATGAGAGAGATATCAGGGTGGCAACACGTCTTTTCTGTCAAGGACGGCGCTGCTGACTCACAGGCAGTAACAAAACAGAAGCTGTCTCCCAACCTGTAAAAAGTGAAACCACTCTTCTCAATCCAGAAGTGAGCTATGTTTGCAAAAGCAGGTCTGCTGCTGAGCACAGCTCTTAGTGTCTCATATTGTTCCTGAAAAATAGAATCAGAGAGGACAAGACGGAAACACAATGGTGTGGTGCTGGAAGATTTTTCAGAGTAAAAAAGCAGTCAACCCTAGGGGGGTTACTACAATCCTAACAAACTTTGCCCACAACTGAAAGTATGGATTTTTCTAAAAACCCAACCAATTCATGACTCCGATCCAGGGCAATGCTTCACCTGTTATGAGATAAAGAACAAAGTGACGGTCATTCCAGGAATCTCTGACAGAAGCCAAGTTGGAACGGGTTCAGGAAGCCTGAGCTGGAAGATGCTTTTCTGATTCCTGGGAAACAAGACCTCAGTGTATGGGGGAGCTTTGGGTTGTGTGCTGTGTTCCTGTCACCAAAGTCTGAGAGGCTGTGTTTATGTTGGCCCTGACCTTGAGGCAGAGGCACAAGGGTAGTTGAAATGTTGTTTTATGGACTACTAGGAGTGACTTTCTGCAGTTCTCAAGAGGGTCTCCCAAATGCTGACATTTCCATGGGAAGCCCATTCACAGCTGTTTGGGAATGGGAGATATTCATCATGATTTTTGCCTCATTAAGAATAATTCATTACGTTGCTTACAAAAGCCTAGAATCATTCATAGGACAAACACTATTTTTCTGCTCTCCACTAAAGGACAGAGGCATTCCTGGTTAATCCAGAGATGCTTTAGCAAAATCAATGCCAGCTTCAAATTCAAGGCATTCTGAGAACTAGCTGGACAGAACTCAAGCAAAGGAAATGTGAGCAGAGCAGAAGAGCTCAGAGCAAAAGGCTGAGAGAGACCAGTGACAGGAGGCACGGCTGGTGCTGCAGAAGCGGACCAGGGGGCCAGGAAGGGGTTATCTGTGCTTGTTTACCCTATTCCCCCTACCCAGTGGGACTTCAGTCCTTCTTGATAATTCCGGTATTTCTAATTCTTCCAGGCCCAACTCTGACCTCATCTCATTCAGGAAATCTTGCGACCACCCAGGTCCATAATGAACTTCCCTTCGCTGGACTATTTTAGTCCTTAGAGCCAGTATCGTTCAATCTAGCATTTGGTCAATTGGTTGACTGATTTCATTCGTTTGCTCAATAATTCAGAAATTTTGTGCCAAATACACAAAAATGAATGACATGGTTTTTTGGTTTTGTGTTTTCAGTTTTTTAATTTAACCTTGATGTCTTCTTCATGCATGTATATCCTGATTTCCCTATAAACTATTTAAATTTTTTTTTTTTTACAGTTCTCACAGTCTTTAACCTGTGAACTGTCACGAGGTGCCATGCCGTTCAGTCCTTCAGTAGATGTTTATTTGCTGGACATGACCAGGAGGTCGTGGAAAGTTCCCATTCGTCATATGCTCTTTCTACCATTACGAAACATATCATCCTTTTCAGATCCAGATAATATCAAACTGTTAAATGGGAAAAAATAATGCCCATCTCCTTGGGTTACTGTGAACTAAAAGGAAAATTGTATATAAGATGTCAAATGCGGTTTATGGAACACAGTAGGCCTTCAATCAGTGAATTGAAGCTGTCACCATCATTCGGGAATCTGTGGTTCAAAAGGAGCCAGTCCAGGGGCCCCTGGATGGCTCAGTCGGTTAAGCATAGGAGTGGAACCTGCATAAGATTCTCTCTCTCCCTCTCCCTCTGCCCCTCCCCAACACCCCTCCCCTGCCCCCACTGGCTTGCTCACTCTCTCTCTCACCACAAAAAAAAAAAAAAAAAAAAGCCAGTCCATACCTTCTTTTTTTTATTATTATTTAAAAGATTTATTTATTTATTTTAGAGATCTCACAACCCTGAGACCATGACCTGAACTGAAACCAAGAGTTGGATGCTCAAACCGACTGAGCCACCCAGGCGCCCCATATACCTAAGTACCTTAGTTTAAAGGTTTCCTGCTAGGCTTAAAAAATACACAGGGACTGAAGGATAATAATAATAATAGAGACTGTGACTCTTCCCCTGAGACTTGGTTAATTGTGCTGTTTAATGGTATTGAGAGAAATTTTAGAGCAAGATTGGTCTCATGGATAATAATCGATTGTTAATTGAACCGTAATGTTGGCCAACCTTAATGAAAACCGCTGTGGTGAATGGCAGACAAATCCCAGTGTGCTCACTCATCCATTCATTGTGTTTCTTCCCATCCCCCTCTCCCCACATGAGAGTCTCACAAGCTCCTCAGAGTCCACTCCCATTTAGATCACTACTCTTTTAGTGGGTGTTTTTCAAGACTCAGAAAAATTCACCCATCAAAGCTTAATATGTATAAGTCTACAATCTCTAATAAATGTTTGGTTTGGCCTTCAAAATTCAACTTAATAATTATTTCTGCCCCTTTTCCGAACTCGTTACTGACCACAGTTTGTTATATTCCCCAGTAATTGCAAAGAGTGTTGCTTCCTTCACTCCCTGGTGACTTGATCCACCTGGGTCCCTGGAGGGCCTATCAGACGCCAAACTCCAGCTCCCCTGTCCCCTGTTTAACCCTAGATCCCCTTTCCTCTCCCGACTCATAACTCCAGGTACCCAGAAGTCTTCCCTGGGCCTGCTGGATCCCTGCCTCCCTCCTGAAATGTCGTACTCTATAGAAATGTTGTTCTCATGATTACCTGTTTATCACAGCTGCCTTCAGATAACATTTCTCTTTCAGCTGGTGGAGTAAGAAAGAGGAGTAAAGGTAAAAAACTGTAGGGCAAAAAGGAAAACAAAATACTAGAAAGAATTATGGCCACATTTCTAAAATGTGTACCCCGGTGTTCATTTAAGAAAAAAAGGGATACGGAATGTCGCCCAGGAGCATATGTATTAAACAT